ATTTCACTACGCAAAGGGTTAGTTAAGGTCCCTAATGCATCCATAGGGCAGTAAGCACAGAAGGTCTCGCCTCATCATTTTGAATGCTGGAAGAGGAAAACACAAATAATCGCTGTAATGATTTTTCATCTCTTTGTTTTTTCAATTCTCACAGGGCCTGAGAAGTCAAACCGAAGCCAGAGACTCACAGGCTACATCTAGACTGCAGGCTTCTTTCGGAAGAAACTTTTCTGGAAAAGATCCTCCGAAAAAACTTCTTCCAAAAGAGAGTGTCCACACAGCAAAAGCGCATCAAAAAAGCGTTCTGCTTTTTTGGAAGATAGAATCCACGGTGAATGGATGCTCTCTCGCATGTCAGCTGTGATTACTATGGACGGAGTGGCTACCAGGGAACTTGCACTTTTTCCTCTTTCCTCTTCTTTTGAAAGAACTCCCTCTTCCCTGTCCACACATGCTTTTTTTCCCCGAAAGAGCTCTTTTGGGGAAAGGCTTCTTCCTCATAGAAAGAGGTTTACCAATGTCAGAAAAACCCCTCTGTTCTTTCGATTTTTTGCTGAAAGAACACTATTGCAATGCGGACATAAGTGAAGTTTTTTCCAAAAAAACTCTGTAGTGCAGACATAGTCCTACTGGTTTTTCCTGGAGGGGGGAGGGGGGCTGCCCTGAAAGACACTAGGGCTGTGTCTAGACTGGCCAGATTTTCTGGAAAATCAGCCGCTTTTGCGGAAAAACTTGCCAGCTGTCTACTCTGGCCGCTGGAATTCCCGCAAAAGCACTGACTTCCTACTGTAAGAAATCAGTGCTTTTTGCAGAAATACTATGCCGCTCCCATTTGGGCAAAAGTCCCAGTGTAGACAGCTGAGATTTGTTTTGCGCAAAAGCGCGTCTAGATTGGCCACGGACGCTTTTCCGCAAAAAGTCCTTTTGTGGAAAGGTGTCCGTGCCAATCTAGATGCTCTGTTCCAAAAACGCTTTTAACAGAAAATTTTTCCGTTAAAAACATTTCCGGAAAATCATGCCAGTCTAGACGTAGCCTAGGGGTATGTCTAGACTACATGCCCCTGGTGACAGACACATGTAGATTAGGCTACCCTGCATAGGAAAATGAAGCGGTGATTTAAATAATCGTAGCTTCATTTACATTTAAATAGCTGCCATGCTGAGCCAATCAGCTGTTTTGTCAGCTCAGTGCTGTAATCTGGATGCTCCGCAGTCGACATCAAAGGCATTTGTCGACCTCCCCAGTGTGCCTCGTGGGATGAGGTTTACCGGGGAGGTCGACAAATGCCTTTGATGTCGACTGCCAAGAGTCCAGACTACCGCGCTGAGCTGACAAACAGCTGATCGGCTCAGTGCGGCAGCCATTTAAATGTAAATGAAGCGGCGATTATTTAAATCACCGCTTCATTTTCCTATGCAGGGTAGCCTAATCTACATGCCTCTGTCGCCAGAGGCATGTAGTCTAGCCATACCCTAACAGACCATCTACATGTTTTGTTAGTCTTTAACGTGCTACTAGACTATTTGTTATCTTTTAAGTTTTTCCAATTACAGACTAACTCGGCTTCCCCCCGAAGCTTTTTTCACTACCGTTCTGTCACTCTTAGGCTTTACATGTTCCCATAAAAACTAGGGGTCACCAAATGAATAAGTAGCAAGTTTAATACAAACAAAAGGAAGTATTTCTTCACACAACTCTCAGCCAACTTGTGGAACTCCTTGCCAGAGGAAGTTGTGAAGTCCAAGACAATAACAGGGTTAAAACAGAGCTAGATAAATTCATGGAAGATAGGCCCATCAATGGCTATTAGGCAGGATGGGCTGGAACAAGTGTTCCTATCTTCTGTCTGTCAGAAGCTAGGAATGATCAACAGCAGGTAGATCACTTAATGATTCCCTGTTCTGCTCATTCTTTTTGGGGACACCTGATATTGGGCACTGTTGGAAGAAACTGGGCTAGATGGACCTTTGGTCTGATCTTCTATGGCTGTTGTTATGTCTTTACGAGACTGACAGACCACTACCATTCTGCCAGTCGTAGGGTTCAGATTTCTACTCATCTGGGTGTATGTTTCCTTTCTTAAACATGTAAATAGCTTTCCTTTCTTTTTCCTAATTAATAAACCTTATTACAGGATTGTCTACAAGAACTGCCTTTGGTTTAAGTCCTAGGGCAGTGTTGCGCAACCCGTGGGTCGCGACCCCCTTGGGTGTCACAGCTGTCTTCCTTGGGGGCCACAGCGCTTGATCCAGGCTGGCCAGTAGTTTCTTTTCCCGACTCGGCACCCAACTCACACGCTACGGGGGTGAGGAGAGTGGCAGTGGAGCGGACCGTCACTTTAAATTAAAGGGGCGTCAACAAAATATTCCCAGCATTTTGTTTTTTTTCCTCAACAAAAATTTTCCAGGTTCTGGGGGGGTCGCAAATTAAAAAAGGCTGAGCACCGTTGCACTAGGGTACCAGTGAGTGGTCTCTTAGGACTGGAAGCAACATGAATATTATGTGATTTTGGGTGCAAGCGACCGTTTCTCACTTAGTCCAGTTTGTCTGGGTGGCAGGAGGGACAGTGATAATTCTCCAGGAGTTCACATTGGTTTCTGGCTGGGTACTCTGTCATTACAGAACATGCCACCAGTTTGAAGTAGCTGCCCTGGCTTTGACAGTCTGCTCTGAGACAGGCGCTCAAGGTCGTGAGCCACTCTTGACAGCATGACAGGCGGTGGGTTGAGGAATATGCAGTCCATGTTCCGCAGATTGTAACATCCCCGATGAGCTGTGTTCTGTAAACAGCAATATTCCCCATATGCCCCACTCCAAAATGCCTGGCGTTTGTGGATGATTCTTAACGAGAAGAGCACGGTCAAGCAAGGAGAGCGTGTGTCTAAAGCAGGGAGTCTGTCTAGGAGCCACACACTAGAACGGGTATTTAAAATGCAATTGGCAAAACAACTGAAAACTGCTTCTTCTCCCACATGGTGGGAAACCTACATACTGCGTCCCATACATCTGAACAAATATACTTCCCAGATGCTGGATTGGAAAATATACTCAGCTGCAAAATTAGTGGAAGAATGATCAGAAAAATGCACAGCCTTGGCTTAACTGCATTTCCAATGTGCATTTAAAATACTCTTATACTGGGATTCGCAAAACTGTCTTTTGAAACAAAATCTACATTTTAAGACAATTTTTTATAGCATTGATTTAAGGACAGCTATTTCCTATACCAGGAAAGGACCTTTGAGAGAAAGAGAGAGATGGGCAAGATACATTTTGTGACTGTGTGTGTTTGTTAAGCATCAGATGGGACTAACTCAAAGTCTATGTGGGAACCCTCACCTAGACTTCAGAACCTCTATAGATCAATGGATCAAACTTGCACCCTTACCTACAAGCACCCCTGAATTTTGTGGAGATTCCAATGTGGATTTGGAGGCTTGGGTTTATGCCTAGCTTCAGGAAGTCTAAGAAGCAGACTAGGAAACTGAAACAACATGAATTAATGCAATGGCATCATTCATTTTTGGACCCTTCTTGTCATATGCTGCCCCATTTGTGCTAAGACGGACAAAATGATTCATTCTGAGTAATAATCACTGTGTTCATTTCCCCTTTTTTTCAGTTTGCCTCCCGTTGCAAAATTGATCTGGACATCTGCAAATATATTGCTTTGTTCCTTATCCCTTGGAACATATGGATGAATTATTGGCCAAGCAGGAGATTCAATGCTATCGTCACAAGCTGAAATTCTGGCTTCAGTGAAGGCCAGAGTCAAACTCCCATTGCCTTGAACACAGCCAGTATGTCACCCACATTCTGGGGTTAGTAACACTGCCCCAAACTTCAACAGAGGGCTTTCCAAGTCACACAGATGAGCCGCTATGTATTTTAGAGCGTTTGTGCCTCTGTCTGTGTGTGTGTCTGCCTGCCACTTGTTCAAGGACTCTTCCAGAATGGTAAGAGCTAGCACCACCAAATGCGGTAGGCAGCTTCCTCTTATCATAATTTGAAGCAAGGTCAAGGTTTGGCTGTGCCAGGACAATGGGATGTGCCTGGAATGTGATTATTTCTCGTCATACGGAAAGGGAGGGGTGTGATCGCAGAGACAGTTATACCCCAGAATGACCACATGGGGGCAACAAATGCCCCGTCCCCAGGTCATCAACAGGACCCTACCATCCTGGACTGCATGACCCCTGCCTTCCCTGGCCAGCCTGGGAAGAAGCCGGAGGGAGGCCTGTGAGGCCCTCCTCCTTCCCGGGCCAGCCCCAACCCCAGGCAACACCAGGTAAGTCTTTGAGTAGTTTCATAAACACAACGATATGAAGGCCGACAGGACCCTCACAATCACTGAGGCCAAACTTCTCCAGAATAAAGGCCATTGGCCTTCTATAACTTATATATATTTATTTATTGTGTCAGGGTGTTGCCCTGCCCTGGCCCTTTAAGGGACCAAGGAGCTGGAAGGAGGAGAGCCAGCTGAGGGCCATAAGGAGGGCCCCGCTGAGGGCTATAGGAACAGCTCCTGGGAGGAGAGATACCTGCCTGCTGCTCGGGAGGAGAGATCAGTGAAGACCTGACGGCCAGGGAAGAAGGAGGCTCCCTGGAGGGGGCAGGACTGGGGAGACTCAGGCAGGAGGAACCCAGGCTACACGGCCGGAGGCCCAGTGCTGCATAGGAGGCAGTCATGAAGGGCCGGGGCGAGCAATGGAGGCAGCCCTAAAGGGCTGGGCACCTTAGGAGGCAGCCACAGCTGCATAGGAGCCAGAGAAGCTCCAGGCGATAAGTCCGGGAGGCAACTGGGCAGACAGAGGCATGCCTGTGGCCAGGGAGTAGGGGACTAGAGATCCTACAGCCTGTCTGGAGGGGCTGTTCAGGGGCTGGCAGGGGACCTGAGGCCAGGACGACGTGAGGGGAGCTAGGAGTCCCCGAGAGGAAGAACTGGGGGTCCCTGGGAGTAAGGAGGACCCTGAACTATAACATAGATTCTCCCGGTGCAGACGAACTATGGAGAGGTCACTGCCAGAGGCCAGAGACCTAAAGAATACCACCACACCCAAAGGGGGCGCGTCGGAGCAGCCGGCTACTTCCCTCCCCAGGAGGCCACTCGGGAAGGAAGAGCTGGGCGAAAAGGAAAAGTGAGTGAACCCGCTACAATATCTACACACATTCTATAAATTCCTGCCTTAAGTTCAATAGATGGGGGTGAAAATTGGGCACGTCTTTTTGAAAAACATCCACATTTGATTTAAAAAATGTCTGGTAACAGAAAAATTACTGCAGTTCTCTGTTCCAGTGGTCAATTACCCTCACTGTTGAAAATGTGCCCATTATTTCTAGTTTTAATGTGTCTAGTGTCAATGCCTGGCCTCTGGCTTTTCTTTTATCCTTGTCTGCTGCTGGATTACAGAGTGGTCCATTACCAAATTTCTGTTCCCTTTGTGGATACTTAACAGACTGTGATCCTGTCACTCCTTCGTCTTCTCTTTGGGTATGTCTACACTACCCCGCTAGTTCGAACTAGGAGAGTAATGTAGGCATACTGCACTTGCAAATGAAGCCCGGGATTTGAATTTCCCGGGCTTCATTTGCATAAGCCGGGCACCACCATTTTTAAAACCCCGCTCGTTCGAACCCCGTGCCGCGCGGCTACACGCGGCACGAACTAGGTAGTTCGAACTAGGCTTCCTACTTCGAACTACCGTTACTCCTCGTGGAATGAGGAGTAACGGTAGCCCGGGATTTGAATTTCCCGGGCTTCATTTGCATAAGCCGGGCGCCACCATTTTTAAATCCCGGCTCGTTCGAACCCCGTGCCGCGCGGTTACACGCAACACAGACTAGGTAGTTCAGACTAGACTTCCTAGTCTGAACTACCGTTACTCCTCGTTCGAACGAGCGGGGTTTTAAAAATGGTGGCGCCCGGCTTATGCAAATGAAGCCCGGGAAATTCAAATCCCGGGCTTCATTTGCAAGTGCGGTATGCCTACATTACCCTCCTAGTTCGAACTAGGAGGGTAGTGTAGACATACCCTTTGATAGGATAAATAGACTAAGCTCATTGAGTCTCTCACTATAAGGCAGGGTATCCAGTCCTTGCATCCCTCTTTGAAACCCTTTCCCATTTTTCAGCATCCTTCTTCTATTATGGACATCCAAGGCCACTGATGTGGAGGGCAACGGGGGCAAGCTGCCTGGGGCCCAGCAACTTGAAAGGGACATATGAACAGCCAAAGGTCCATCTGGCCCAGTATCCTGTCTTCCATCAATGGCCAATGCCAAGTACCCCAGAGGAAATTAAAAGAGCAGGGAATCAAGGGATCCATCCCCTATCATCTATTTCCAGCTTCTGGCAAGCACAGGCTAAGGACACCATTCCTGTCCATCCTGTCTAATAAGTATTGATGGACCTGTCCTTCATGATTTTATCTAGCTCTTTTTTTGAACCCTGTTAAAGTCCTGGTCTTCACAACATCCTCTGGCAAGGAGTTACGCAGGTTGACTGTGCGCAGAGTGAAGAAAAACTTCCTTTTGTTTGTTTTAAACTTGTAACCTATTCATTTCATTTGGTGACCCCCAAGTTCTCCTGTTATAGGAACAAGTAAATTACTTTTCCTCACAGCCCAAGGCCCTTTTAATTGCCACTCTGGACAAGCCCCATATGGCACGCTCTGGGCAACCCTGAAGGGCTGGCTGTGGGAAGCTAGCCCGAGCCCCCGCCTTCCGCTTCCACCTGATGCCCTGCCTCTTCTGGGTGCATGGAGCTGCACTCTCTCCCGCCTTTCCCAGGGGTCCAGCAAGTCTCTTCGGAACTCTGTGGTCACCAGATCTGGATTCTGTATTCCAATAGCAGTCGCATCCGTGCAAATACAGAGGTAATATAACATCTCTGCACCTCCTGGATAGTCCCCTGTTTACACATCCAAGGATATACACGCTAGTTTGACTTTATTCTGTTAGAGGCTTTGCAAATTCCACTTGCGGCCAGACCCCAGACTGCATGCTGGTGTGATGATATTTACAGAATTAACCTTTATTTGCCCCACTTTGCTCTGCAGTTCGGTAACGTTCAATCCATTAATTGAGTGATTTGCATCCCTCTTTACATCCTCTGCACTGACAACTTGCCTCAGAAGGAGTTTGATTTCAGTGCATGCTAGGGGTTTTGCCATGTTCCAAAAATCCCTCCCTCTCCAAAGGCTAGGAGGAAAGTTAGCTTAATATTTAATGTTTCCATAGGAAACCGGTGGGTGTGTTTTGCCATGTGATATGCAGGTTGTCATGGTACATGGTTTCAGCCTTGAACAGAGGCAGAATCAACAGAGAGAGCACATTCACTCGGCTTAGCGTTGCCAGAAAAAAAAAAGGGAGAGAGAAAGTGAAAATACACCCTTAAATAAATGCTTCTTCCTCAGATAGATGAAGTTTCTATCTGTGGCATGCTTCCAAGTAAAGGAAGGGCCGGCACGCTCAAAAAAACCCCTCAGAGGGTGCTAAAATGGATCAGTACCTCACAGGTTTTGGGTTCCTGCTTGGTTTCACATTATTCAGCTGAAGAGTCCAGAAGTTTGCTTGCAATGATGGAAAGTATTCCTGCATCTGGCTGGCCGGGCGAGGCTGCCAGACTTCTGTTTCCTCACTCTGCCTTGCGTAACTCCAAAATGGACACCGCCAGACTACAGCCACCACGGCTGAGTCCCGGACGGAGGCCAAAAAGCAAACGTCTCTGGCAGAGCTGTGACAAAGCCTTTGAAATGCCAAATCAGAGATGGCACTCAGTACAATAGAGCAGAGAGCCACACCAGTCCTTTCAAACAAATGTGATGAACCTAACAATTAAATCTGGTGTCCTACTAGGTGAATGAGAGGAAACTCAACCAGGGTATGTTTGTTTTTAACAACAAAACTGTTGCTTGGGTTGGTCCCTTCACATTAAGACATTGGGTTTAGAACCACTGATGGATTCTGGCTGCTTGTTGAGCAGGGGGCGGGGCAGTGGGGCTAAAGGGGAAGAGCAGATCTCTTTGGCTAGTCCAGGCTGTGGAGGTTTCTCTGACCTACACCAGAGGTCACACCAGAAGGTTGCTTGAAGCTGCACGTTTCCAGGGTGTGTTTAGACTACAGGGTTTTGTCGACGAAAGTGAACTTTTGCCGACAAAACTATACCTGAATCTACGCTGCTGCTGAGTTCTGTCAACATAACGTCGACAGAACTCAGTCGTTTTGTCGATGGCGGAAAACCTCATTCTATGAGGAATAACGCCTTTTGTTGACAGAGTCCTGTTGACAGAAGGTGTTATTGCATCTACACTGTCCTTTGCATCTACACTGTCATGTCGACAAAGGGGCTTGCTTTGTCGACAGAACTGGATGTAGCCTAGATGCTCTTTGTCAACAGGAGCTTTGTCGACAGATACTGTCGACAAAACTTCTGTCTACAAAAGCCTGTAGTCTAGACGTACCCCCAGTGAAATCAAGCCCTGTGCACAAGGTCAAACACATACCTCAGGTAAATCCTTCAAAGACAGGACCAGTAGGGAGCCTACACCTTTGGCTGGACCTCTGGTGAGGGTTGCCAGATACTTTCACAAAAAATCCCGAACATGGCGAGGGAAAAAAAATTGGTTGAGCAAAAAAACCCCCACAAAAACGGGGACCAAGGTCGCTGCACATTTTTTACATGTCTGGTATTTTTGGGTTTTTTTTTACTGGAGAGGGGCCACAAATACTGGGCTGTCCGGGTGAAAACCGGACATCTGGCAACCCTACCTCTAGAAGGGTGTGAATTTCCTCATACTGTTTTCAGTGGTACAGGTAAGAGTCTGGTGCCTTGTCCGACAGAGGGAGAGAGAGTGAGCGACCCAGGCCTGAGTCCTCCAGGCCAGGTGGGAAAAACCTACATTGAAGATGAACTTGGCGCACTCTGTAAACATCGCAGAACATAATCGATCGCATGTATTTCCCTCTTGAAAAAGATTTATTTCCCATTAGATGAAAGCAGTCCTGGCCAGGCAGTGACAGCCAAGAGAATGTTGGATGATTTTCAAGCGAAACATTTTCTTGCTCTCTTGAAAATGTCAACATTTTCTTGCTCTCTTGGGGTATGTCTACACTACCCCGCTAGTTCGAACTAGTGGGGTAATGTAGGCATACCGCAATTGCAAATGAAGCCCGGGATTTGAATTTCCCAGGCTTCATTTGCATAAGCGGGGCGCCGCCATTTTTAAATCCCCGCTCGTTCGAACCCCGTGCCACGCGGCTACACGCGGCACCAACTAGGTAGTTCGCACTAGGCTTCCTAGTTCGAACTACCTAGTTGGTGCCGCGTGTAGCCGCGCGGCACGGGGTTCGAACCAGCCGGGATTTAAAAATGGCGGCGCCCGGTTTATGCAAATGAAGCCCGGGAAATTCAAATCCCGGGCTTCATTTGCAATTGCGGTATGCCTACATTACCCTCCTATTTCGAAATAGGAGGGTAGAGTAGACATACCCTTGATGGGCATTTTCCAGCTGAGTCTCACAGAATCTCACCTGATTTTCTTTTTAGGTAAAATGCACTGCAATCGCCTCCCCAAACTCTACACACAGAAAAAGAGCATAGAGAAAGAGCTCAGTTTTTGGAAGGACACCCATGGACTCCTGTCCTGAAAAACTCATTCCTGAGAAACATATGGAGTTTCTTATTTGCTGCAGGCTGAGTACAGGTTGGGAAGCTGATATTTTTTTCTTATAGCAGCTCCCTGCATGTGCAAAAGCCAAGCTTTATAAATCAGCTGTGTACACAGAAATAATCACCTTGCTTGAATATGATTATTCAGAAAAAAAAACCTAGGCTGTCGATTCAGTAGGCAAAGGAACTGTTTAGTCTGGAGAGAACTGTTCGGATGCCAGACACTGGTTACCATAACAGCTTTCCTTGTGTACAAAGCTTGAAGGCAGAAAATCAAAATATCTCTCTAAGACTTATTCTATTTCTGCCAATTTCTTTTAAGCTCCAGAAGTTTTCAGGGGACGAAACACCCTTTACGTTGCCTGAAATCTATTGATGGGAGATTGGTTGGTGTTTTTTTTTTTGTTTTGTTTTGTTTTGTATTAACACAAAAGATCAGTTTGATGATGGAAGGCTCTAACCAAGATTGGAGCTTTGTTGCACTAGGCACTGAAAATCACCAGAGACATTTCCAACCCTGAAGAGCGTAGGAAATGTCTCTGGTGATTTTCAGCATCTAGCGCAACGAATCTCTGATCTTGGTTGGAGCCTTCCATCATCAGACTGATCTTTTGTGTTAATACAAAAATCAATAGGCAAGACCGACAGAATAATCTCCATTTTACAGATGGGGAATTGAGAGATGAAAGGGCTTGTCTAGTGCTGCACAGACAGTTGGTGGCAAAGCCTTAACGTAAGCCCAAATCTCCTGAGTTCCAGCCCAGTGCCTTACCCTCAAAACCATCCCTCCTTTCTGGTACTTTGCTTTTGTGCTTTTACCAGTAAAGACATTGAACAAGTGTCTAGTAAATGTATTCCAACCAGTCACTGTAGATGACATAGGTCCATGGTGCTCACAGAATTCATTGTTATGTATTAGTTATGCATTAGTTACAAATATTAACCAGGGTGGCTGATAACAGAGGAAAGGAGAAGACTCATGTAAGCCATCAAGGGACTTCACTGTATCTATTTAATTCACCTGGGAAGCAGAGAGACCATGAAGCTGCAAAGAAACGCTGAGCACTAGGGATGCCAGTAGTCCTGTTGAAGATAAATCATCATCATGTCAAACACCAAAGAGACGTAACCAGCATTCCCTCTAATCTTTTCCATCCATGTGTGGAATAATTTTATGTGCATGGGGGAATGTGCCAATGTGCACGCCAGAAAGAAACACAAACCTAGCTCTGGGTGCTCTGCTAATCAGCTGGGTGGCATTTGAATTTCTTCTGAGCAGCCACACAAGCAGGGAACACTGGGAGTAACCTTCTTGCAGATCAAGCAGCACCTGAATAGCTCTGCAGTTAGGCTTCTTCAGACACTGCTAGATGCTTAGTCTGTGTCCATCATTGGCAATCTTATCACATCCCCAAAGCTCTGGGCAACTATGTAATTGCTGGCTGTGTATCATCATTTCTTGGCAAACATGCTTCATGATTCACTGTCCTTCTAGTCTAACAATACTTCCATACCAAGAAAGCTGCCAAAACTAAACCAGCGCTGAAGGAGACAGGTGCTTAGTTCAGCAACTAAAGTTCTCATAGATGATCTTGTCAAGCCACTTAATATGACTGTCTACATTGGGAAAGTTTGGCAACAAAAGTGCTGTAGACCACCTCAGCTGTCAGATATTTACCTGGGAGCTTTAAAAGAGGAGGTTTGCAGGCCTGCAGGGCAGCAGAGATCACAGAACACTGAGCAGAGCCATCAAGGCAGGCATTGTGGGATACAGGTAGGAGCCAGTTCTCTCAACAAAACAAACAGCAATGTCCACACTGGCTCTTTGTTAACAACAAAGGTATGGGAAAAGACAAAAGTCTCTCACAGGCCTGGAGGTTTTTTTGTCACCAAAAGTGGGTGTTTTTCCAGACAAAAGTTGCATTATAGTGTGCATACTCTCACTTTTTTGTCAACAAAAGGCAGGTTTTGGTGACAAAACATGCCAGTGTAAACAAGGCCTATGCAGTGGCTGATGAAGATGATAAGAACTGAAAATGTCTTTTCAGTCTTCTCAGAATCTGCTCTGTGAAATATGAGTATTGAGGATGAAAATGAACAGACACACACAGATCCTAAAATAGATTGATCTCTGTGATGCCCTATGAGATTTAATGCTTGCTAGAGCCGGTTGAAAAACAAAAACAAACAAAAATGAAAAAAAAAAAAACAAAGAAAAAAAATATTCAAATTTGAAATTTCTATGCAAATTTTCAAAGAAAAATTTAAATTTCAAATTTAGAAAATTTCAACCAGCTGTAATGGCTTTATTTAAAACATATATATAGATACACACACATAGGCATTCTCACAGAACCTAGGAATTTTCCACAAATGGAAGGCCTGCATTTTACTATAAAATAACCCTGACACATTTTGTGTTCTTTCTCCTGCCTCCGAAAGTTTGTAAAAGCACCAGTCACACTTTTCCACTGCATCTTCTGGCTCTGGGCCTTTAATCCAGCACTTGCAATGCAAAGACGAGGGTTAGCCTCACAGTCTAGCATGCTGATCAGTTTGTTTGCATGTACAGAGGTGATGAATCACAAATGGAAATGGATGGAGACAAATCATGCAGACAGCGCTGGCTTTGCCTACAAAAGCTCGTGATTCTATTTTTGTTAGTCTCTAAGGCGACGCAGGACTCCTCGTTGTGTTATATTGGATAGGCATTGTGCACTTGATCCATTTGTCACTCTTTTGTACTACAGAGAGTTGGGAACATTTCTGACATCATATCAAAGGCCACCAACCTGAAACGCTGCTTTACAGCCTATCGTAGGAGCATAGATTCATAAGGCGGGAAGAGACCTCAGGAGTCGTTGAGTCCAATCCCCTGCCCAAAGCAGGACCAACACCAACTCACTCATCCCCATCAGGGCTTTGTCAAGCCAGGACTTAAAAACCTCCTCCATAGGGAACCCATCCAGTGCTTCCCCACCCTCCAAAGGAAGTCGTTTTTCCTAATATCCAACCTAGACCTCCCCCACTGCAACTTGAGACCATTGCTCCTTGTTCTGCCATCTGCCCCCACTGAGAACAGCCTCTCCCCATCCTCTTTGGAACCCCCCTTCAGGGAGTTGAAGGCTGCTCTCAAATCCCCCCTCACTCTTCTCTTCTGCAGACGATGCTAACAACCAGACTGAAACGATGCAGCAACAGGCCTGCAGCCTGCAGGAGGTTTGCCTCAGCAACTGGTAAACCTATGGCGATGTGGAATCCTTATTGCACTGCTTAGATGTTTGTGGATCCCTTTGGGCCTGGAGAAATGTTGCTCCTGCCTCCAGAGAGTGATGAAAAATACGAGCCTGGGTTGCTGCCATATTTCTGGTGAAAGGCCCGCCCTGCTCCAGCCCACACCTGCGTCTCATGTCATGCTCCACTGTTCTCCTTTATTACAGGGCACCAAAATGCACGGAAGCCCTGCCCCCTGATATTCATAGGGAGCTGCATACGATTCCACACTTTGCTGTCCTGAATGCACCGGGCGGCGGAAAGTCCGAGCAAGCAGTTACAAGACTAAACACAGCCAGCATCCTCAACAAGTGATGTAGAAGCAATTCCTTCTTTTGGACCAGTCCCCCACACTGGGTTTCCCCCAGGGAGGCATGCCTGATCCCCTTGTAATTATTCAGAAAGTGGTCGGGAATTACTGCCGAGGAGTCCTCACAGGTCTTTGGCTCTGCTGATGACGATAACCAGAAGGCTGCTTGCTCAGTGACGTGCGCTGTTGACTTGTGCACTTAGTCTCCACATCAGACCCCAAGAGAGCTCCCAAAGACCACAAATCAGATGAGGATTGAAGGTTCTAGGCCAGGTTTATTGGTAAACGAAGTGCAGTCCTAGTTGTCAGTAGACTCTACTGAACCACTGTGCATGTGTACTCCGTAACAATGGATCGACTCAATCAGTGGGAAATTTCCACTGCCCCCTAGGTCATCCAAAGACTATCCCCCTAAGACACCACTTCATATACAGGTACAAACAAATCACACCTCACTGCTGACGTGTCACGTTGCCACCCTCTGATGTTGTCAGGTTACCACCCTTTGACGCTTCTTAGATACCACCCATCACCCTGTAACTTGTGGTTTGATTTACATCATCTCTATCCATCGTGCTGTTAAGTAGACTCTACTGAACCACTGTGCATGTGTACTCCGTAACAATGGATCGACTCAATCAGTGGGAAATTTCCACTGCCCCCTAGGTCATCCAAAGACTATCCCCCTAAGACACCACTTTATATACAGGTACAAACAAATCACACCTCACTGCTGACGTGTCACGTTGCCACCCTCTGATGTTGTCAGGTTACCACCCTTTGACGCTTCTTAGATACCACCCATCACCCTGTAACTTGTGGTTTGATTTACATCATCTCTATCCATCGTGCTGTTATTTTTAGACCCTTTCCTGAACCTGGGTCTGTATCTGTGAGGAGTGGGAACCAAGGTCTTTTTTAATGAGCTGGTGGTACCATGTGATTTCAACTTTCGACCGGTACCAATTATTGATCTGCACCTGGGCCTATTGCCAATTCGACCGGTACCAATTATTGGTCTGCACCTGGGCCTATTGCCAATTAGTGTTTTGCACTGTCGGCCCTATTCGTGCCAAGGTCTGTGAGCAGGGGCCTGCCTCTTGCCCACGGCTTAGCTTTGCGTTATGTTAGCCATGTTTTGTCCATTGTTAGCTAGGCCTCAGGCCTTAGACCAGGCCTGTGCTAGATTGGCTTGTCGACAGAAGGTGTTATTGAATGGAAACTGTCCTTTGCGTCCAGACTACCATGTCGACAAAAGCAGCTTGCTTTGTCGACAGAACTCAATGTAGTCTGGACGCGCTTTGTCGACAGTATCTGTCGACAAAACTTCTGTCGACAGAAGCCTGTAGTCTAGACGTACCCTTAGTGTTTTGCACTCTCGGCCCTATTCGTGCCAAGTTCTGTGAGCAGGGGCCTGCCTCTTGCCCACGGCTTAGCTTTGCGTTATGTTAGCCATGTTTTGTCCATTGTTAGCTAGGCCTCAGGCCTTAGACCAGGCCTGTGCTAGATTGGCTTATGTTTTAGGCCTTCATCTTACTAAACTCCTCTCACCAGACCCCCAAAAGACCTGTTATTCCCAGAGACACAAAATTTTACTAATTTAACCCAATGCGGCACAAATCAGTAAACAAACCATTTTAGGTTGCTTGGGCTCATACAGTGCTCATAATTACACTGCAAACACATAACAATTACAGCACAGTTGCATAGTGGTTAGATCTCTCATCATCTGGATTTACCAAAAGGCCAGGTAACTGCAAAGTTCACTGCCCAACTGACAATAACTACCATGTAATTACAATGTAATGAATGCCGCTTGTTCCTAACAGTATCTGGCTGTATTTTGATAGTCCATAGGAACCAGAAATGCCACCCCATGGTGCTGTACAAAGCAGAAGACAGTTCCTGCCCCGAAGTGCTTACCATCAAAGCATGTAAGACCCACAAAGGGAAAGGTATAAAGGGAGAGAAGACACAAACAGAGTGAACAAGGTAGTGAGCTGCAAATGTCATGGGTAGTTCCTTGACTTTGGGGTGTTTCGGGTGGTGCAGGGGTTGTTTCTTTATTTACTTTTTGGTTGAGAATTTGTTACAATGGGATTACAGTAATTCCTTATTTAACACTATAGATGCATTTCTGAAAATATTCGTGCTAAGCAAAAACATGCTATGTGGGGTCAATTTTTCCATTAAAAATAATGCAAAAGGTGGGGGTTGCGTTTCAGGTCGTGATGGCAAAGTCAATTTTTTGTTGGTGCTGGGTTGTCAATGTCAACATTAGATATCTATCAACACAAAATAACTAGCAACACAAGTCGCCGCGGTTTGTTAAAACACAAAGATAATAACGTGAATGAGCGGAGGAGTACTATGACCACATCTATTCATCCGCTCATGCATATTACCACTGTTTTCACCAACTTATACCGCCGTGCGAAGTACTCGGCCATTTGATGATTTTCACGTTATTTTGGGGAAGGTCGTGTTATTCGAAAAAGGTTCCCTAAAAAAAAAATCGTGCTATTGTGAAAACGTGTTAGGCGGGCACATGTTAAACGAGTAATTACTGTATTGAGACGGAGAGACAAAGGAAAAGAGGAATCATTAAAGGGATGGGGGGATCGAGGTAAGAGAGAGAAAGCTTGGAGGGTAGAGGGCATGAGGTTGAGATGAAGAGAAAGGGAGGGAAAGGGTAGGAGAAAGTTGGAGCAAACTGTTAACACAGGAGAAGTGTGTTTTCTGCATATGGTTAAGGTTGCTTGACAGTTTGCATTACAAGGCCCTGTTTTTGGGGTGGGGATGGGGTTCCCCTCTAACAAACTTTGGCTGCTTGGGCCAAATGTTCCATGCTGCCTTCATGCTAAATGCTGACTTTTTTTTTTTTTAAGATATAGAATCATGGAATCTTAGGTCTGGAATCGACCTCAGGAGGTCATCTTTTGTTTTAGGACAGCTCAACAAAAACATGCAAGTGGTTGAATGACTGGGCCAGCTTAATTGTGCCATTCCCTAACTTGCTTCCCTGTGCCACTGTGATGTACTTCTAATGAAGGGGTTATCTTAATGTAACTGGGAATGACAGCTGAATAATAAGGCATCGAGTCCCATGGGTTGACTTGCAAGTTATTTGAAATGATGGTGATTACCTGATGAAAAGCAAATCCAGTGTGATTACATTGTCCTTTCAGGATCATTACGATCACCATATTGTAAATCTGATGCATGCTTTGTTAGGAAACAGGTACAATTAAAAGCTAGTCCAGGAACTAAGAGTTAAAAGATTCAGCCACTTTACATATGCCATTTATTCCATCTTTACTTCCCCTCTCTGGTCTGGTCTGACAATAGTTTGGGAACAATAGATGGCATGAGTGATATTCTGTAGTTGTTAGTTACCACACTAATGCATTGAGGTTATTTTTAGCAATCGAGGGATTATTGCAGGGACATGATAATCGTGCATTCTTGGATGTTAGGAAGAATTTGGAGAATTTGGTAGGAATGTCTGCACGGAGAATTTGGGGTGAATGTCTGCATCTGGCATAGAATCACCTGTAAACTGAGCACTTGGGCAGCCAACCAAGAGAGATTCAAATGTCACCCAGCTGATTAGCAGAGTACCCACAGACTCCAACAGCCAGCAGCTTCTGTTTCTACTGGTGGTGCACATCTGCACTTGCCTTGGTGCATGTAACAAATTTTATTCTGCGTGTGGATGGGAAAAATTAGAGGGAACATTGAGCATGCATCGAAATCCAAGTAACCTGGCCTCTTTATATCCTGTGATTTGTTCTTTGTGGGCAGCACCTCCTGGCTAAAGCCAAGGGGAGCTGCTGATTCCAGTGGAGAACCGGATGGGTGTTTTTCTGTCCTCCCCACTGCGACTGGTGCCTCAGGGTATGTCTACACTACCCCCCTAGTTCGAACTAGGGGGGGTAATGTAGTCATACGGAGTTGCAAATGAAGCCCGGGAAATTCAAATCCCGGGCTTCATTTGCAACTCCGTATGACTACATTACCCCCCCTAGTTCGAACTAGGGGGGGTAATGTAGTCATACGGAGTTGCAAATGAAGCCCAGGATTTGAATTTCCCGGGCTTCATTTGCATAAAGCCGGCCGGCGCCATTTTTAAATGCCGGCTAGGTCGGACCCCGTGCCGCACGGCTACACGCGGCATGGCACGGGGTCTGACCTAGCCGGCATTTAAAAATGGCGCCAGCCGGCTTTATGCAAATGAAGCCCGGGAAATTCAAATCCCGGGCTTCATTTGCAACTCCGTATGACTACATTACCCCCCCTAGTTCGAACTAGGGGGCTAGTGTAGACATACCCTAAAAGACAGAACTGCTTTTCTTTTTTATCCCGAGAAGATGCTGAGTCTATGCCAGGGTAATTAGTTTCATGCATTTCTAGCCCTTTCATTTTCCTCCTGGCTGCAAAGATCCATTGTGGATTTTATTGGGGCTTTTTTTTTTAATTCTTCATCTCTATTGTTGTGAGAGGAGCCTTGTGGCCTGACAGGCTTCCTCTGAACGCTAAGGAGATGACAGCAAAGCCAGAAAGCAGGTGCCCAGTGCAGCACAACGGGATGAAAACAAGCAGAAAGAAAACGCCCTTGCACACTGCCAGCCACTGTAGCTGCTGAGTTTCCCGAGAAGTTGGGCAGACACTCCCTGTTTCCTTTGGATGCCGGCGAGGAAGCGGCAGCAGCAGAAGCCACCGGACTAAAAGCTGAATGAACAGGGGCTTTGCTATGATGACGCTCGTTAGGCAACAGCAAGGAAACTGAGGAGAAGGGCTTTTTGAGTCACAAGGTAAGTTGACTGGATCGGCACAGGCGGGGAAAACACCCATATTGATCTGGAGGGAGAATCATTCCAAGCAGGTTCTTCTCGTGAGTCACTGTAAAGGGGCAGTTATTGCTTCCGTGTCTCGCTTGCTGCTTGCTGCCGCGTGCAAAATACGGGAGAGGAAGAGGGCGGCCTTTTGAGAAAGTCAGTGAACAGGCTCTGGTTTGTTCCCACTCCGTGCTCACCGTTTCTAGTCCCCACTGGCAGCCAGGCATGAATGCACTTTCGTGTCTTGGGTTTGGGAAGGGGTGGATGGTCATTATGATCCTTCTGGGGCGGCGGGGCTCAGAGGAAATGGAAGGAAATGCCTTCCCAAACTGCCAGACGGGGCCCTGCCCACACTCCGTGCTCCGGCCCGCCTCTGCTTCAGAGTGGCACCCTCCAGTCCCCTCAGGATGCCCGGGCTTAGCTGCACTGAGGCTGGGGCTGCCTGTCCTCACCGTGTTCCAGGGCCAGGAAGGCTGGAGTTGCCCACCTACTACATGTGCTGGGGTCAGGTAGGCCGGGGCCATGCACCGCCCACTCCAGAGGGGGATGACTTGGGGGCCTGCCTCTACAGTAGCGGGGGCTTGTTGTCCAGAGAGACCTCAGGCAGAAGGGGCATGGCCTCTGGCAGAAGGGGCGTGGCCTCAGGAGGAAGGGGTGTGGCCTCAGGCAGAAGGGGCAGGGCTTTGGGCAGAAGGGGTGTGGCCTCAGGAGGAACGGAAGTGGCCTCTGGCAGAAGGGGCGTGGCCTCAGGAGGAAGGGGTGTGGCCTCAGGCAGAAGGGGCAGGGCTTTGGGCAGAAGGGGCGTGGCCTCAGGAGGAAGGGAAAGGGCTGAGGCTTGCGTCCCCCCATGCCTTAGAGTCACCCACCGCCCATGATGACCTTGCTATATACAACCCGGCTTCCACTGCCTGGGTTTGCTGTTATTGGTGAAAGCTTCCCAAGCTGGGGACTGCCAGCTGCATTAGTCAGGCAGATGTGATGGAAGAGAGAAGGGCTACACAGCAGCTGTCCTTAGAAGCCTCGCCAAGCATGGAGCCCATAACCACACCGATGAATTCAGCTTCTCCCCTTTGTCAGAACAATTTTGATTGTGCCTCAGCTAGGAATCAATGGTGGTACCAGTTTGTCTCAAATGGTGTTCCCTCTAATTTTTTCCATCCATGGTCAGAATAAATTTTGTTCTGTGCACTGAGTCATGTGCAGATGCGCACCTCCAGTACCAAGGCACGCAGCTAGCTGAGGCCGCTCTGTTAAATAGCAGGGTGGCGCCTGAATCTCTCCTGGATGGCCGCCCATGCACACACTGGTCCTGAAGGAGAGAAACGGAGTGAACCGTTCCTACTGCTATTGTTATTAGTCACAGTCAGGCAGGTCTCACAGGCTGAAGGAGAGAACTGACAATTATAGGGGACTCAGTATCTGCTTTTGACTGTTTCCCATTGGCACGACAATCTACGGCAGGGTGTTCTGTGGCACCACCTCCATTTGTGCCATGGAAACATTTTTTGTTGCCAAAAAACGCAAACAAATGCTCCAGACAATTTTAGCTGAAACTAATGGGCAGCAGGTTTAAAACAAATAAAAGGAAGTTCTTCTTCACACAGCACATAGTCAATCTGTGGAACTCCTTGCTTGAGGAGGTTGTGAAGGCGAGGACTATAACAGGGTTTAAAAGAGAACTAGATAATTTCATGGAGGTTAAGTCCATTAATGGCTATTAGCCAGGATGGGTAAGGAATGGTGTCCCTAGCTTCTGTTTGTCAGAGGGTGGAGATGGATGGCAGGAGAGAGATCGCTTGATTATTACCTGTTCAGTTCACTCTGTCTGGGATACCAGGCACTGGCCTCTGTCAGCAGACAGGATACTGAGCCGGATGGACCTTTGGTCTGACCCAGTAGGGCCATTCTTAAGTTCTTATGTAAATCCAGAAAGTCCAAAGAGCAGCTGACTTTCTGTTGGTGAGTCACTAGAAAGTCCAAAGAGCAGCTGACTTTCTGTTGGTGACCGACCCCCAGCTAAATTTGCACCAGAGAAGTGCAAAGGAGACTTAGGCGCAGTTCCTGCCATGAATTTGCTGCATCTGGGCAGTTGCTCTGCCTATGACTTCACCGTAACTTGTCTCCAAGGTCCACAAGGCAGGGCTGAATCATTGTCTGGACCTGCTGCCGAAACAGGATCCCTTTCAAGGTCACACAGAGTAAAAAAGCCTGGCTTTTTCCGAGTCATTGCAATTATGTTCCCAGCCAGTGACAGCCTTGGGTGCACTCTCCCGATACTGCTCGGGGGAAAGGTGACCTAGAAAGGGATTTTTATTTCTTTAGTATGTAAAAATAACTGATTAGGTCCCAAAATTATTCATGAACCCGAGGGCAATGGACATCCGGTTTAAAAGAAGGTGTTTCTCCCTAGATCACAGAGAAGTTATGTCTCCTTACTCTGCATCCGAATCACTGGTACAGAAACATAACAGAATTATTTGATCCCTTGGATCAGGAATTGGTTACAAATGTGTCGAGAGGCAAATTTTGGATCTGACCTTTTGGTGAGCCTATTATAAAAGGAGGGACCAACCAGCCAGCGGGAGTGGGTCTAATCCAAACTTCTGCAGTGTTAAGATCCAGATCAAAGCTAGCCCAGATTTTGGGGTGTAGCAGCTTTGGGAGGGTGGGGTGTTTCATGTACCTTAGGAGCTCTTTGTGCATGTACCTGTATTTCTTCAGACAAAGGGAGGAAGCCATAAGCAGCAGTAGTGAAAGGATTTCGCCCAGGTTGGCTTCCACTCATGGTGCTATGAAATCCTCCTTGGATTCATCCCTGAATGTTTTGAAAACATCATGAACTGAGGAAGTTACCACTGGGCCATCGACACCGAATCATGTTGGTATTTTAAACCACATTGCCTTTCTGAATCTTACTCTTCCTGGATTTGTAAATTAATTTATG